ACAGCTTGGGCTGCGACATACAAGTTACTAGTATTAACAACGTAGACTGCAGAGCACCATTGGGAGATGGGATCATCCAATTTCTTGGAAGGCACCTGCTACTTCTGCTTCAACTTTTTTTGAAAATTGGTGCCTTGGAGCTTAGAAGGCACTTAACCATATAAAAGAAAAAAGGTAATACATGTTCTTAGGCAAGCACACAAAAGGCTTTTTTACCCATAAATTGCAACTAGTTCTTGAGAGTATCGACTATTTGAAATATGCTTTCTATAAGACAGAGTTCTAAATTCCACTTAGAGAAGTGAGGAACAGACCCTTTCTAGCCTGCTCTTCTCAGCAAGCTCTCCCTACATCCCCCTCCACCCTGGCCCCACATGAACACTAAAACCACACACAAAACCCAGGAACAAGGTAGTTCAGAGCCCAAAGCAGCACACTCCTTTGACATGGACACCTAAAGACCTGGATTTGGAGAAAAACATGGGAACTATAGGAGCTCCAGTGGGAGCAGAACAAAGATGCTGAAAGTGTTTCTGCCATGGAGGTGAGCAGCAATTGCAGCTCCAGACCTAGAGCAAAGGCAGCAGGGCCAGGGGCATTTGGGGGTGTCTTCCCTAGTCAGGAGTCATAAAGGGAGTTAAGAAACATTAGGTAGTGTGACAGATTTAACTGATACTTCTTGGGACAAGCAAAGTGGGAGAATGCTTACAAGCCCAGAGCTTTTTGTTAAAGGCCAAGTTTTGTGATCAATAATTTTAAACAACTTAAAATGCAACCTGGCATCCAACTTAATCTGTTTACTACTGTTCACTGACTTCTAATCATATTGGTAGAACAAAGACAAATATGGAAAGCAAAAATTCCCAGTCTAGTTTAAAAAAGAAAATTCAAGCAATTTGAATTATCCTTGCCAACAGTCTGGAGAATCAGTCTGTTTAACAAGTGGTGTATGTAAACAATAAAGATGCCATTAAAATACAACTTGGTAAACAGGCATTACCTATTTAATAAGTACAATATATACATAGAATCCTCTTGAAAAGCTTCATTTTATACAGAAACATATTTACAAAATGAACAGTGTAATCAAATTAAAGATTATCTGTACAATGCACACACACATATATGTACTCTGGAAGGCAGACAAGTTTCATCATGTCAAAATGAACAGCCATATGCATTTTTAAAAAGAATTCCATTCCAGAAGAAAAATACATCTGTAATATATAATTATATTTTTCACTTATTTTCCTGAAGATTCTTCAGAGTTTGGATACTCTTCCAACTATTTCTCTTGTTCAGTCTTGAAAAATTTCAGGTTTCTAGTGCCACCAACTGGTGTTAGTTAAAAATTAACAATCTTAGTGTTAAAAAAGAATTTTGTTAAAAAAAAAAAAAAGGTTATTGAAAACTAGGCTATTGGAATCAACATCCATAAGGCATAAATGACAACATGATTTATAAAAATATTTTCACCAGGGTGGCATATATAACATTTACAATATTAGTGGTTTCTAGTTTTTTTCATCTACTGGTAAATCTTGATCTAAATTTGCATTTAAAAATCTTTAGAAAATAATTAATATACCACAAAACAAAGTTTAGAAACATACATGACAACATAATTAGATTCATCTTTGTAAGCATCAAGTAGGCATTAATAAAACGGTAAAAATCTAATGCCATTTTATGATCTGTGTATTTTTTTCCTTTTTCTTAAAGAATAATTAAACATCAAACTGGAATAATTTAGGAAATGTGCAGAACTACCATGAAAACAACGATTTGTTCTCAGCATCCCTCAGCAAGGATTCAGTTTCCCAAAGCTGAAGGCCAGAGTGAGATTTCTGAGCCACCTACTGGCACAGATATATTAACCCTCTTCTCAGCCCAGTTATAAGGGGTTGGTTATGAGACAGAGAGCCCTAAGGACCTGTTCCTATTGTCTCCCAGCTATTTTTATTAGACCATAAGCTCCATGAGGATGGATACTGTGCTTTCTGGTCTGTTCACTAACATAATCACAATATCTTTTGTATGGTGCCTGGCAATAGTAGGTTTTCAATAAATGTGTTTATTAAATGAATAAATAACATGTTGGTAGCCTGATAAGATTTAATTTCAAGCTAAATTGCTTTAAATGGCTATGAAAATAGTGAAAACAAAAAACAAAAAAAAAACCACCATCAAAGTTCAAACTTTCTTCTGTCCAAACCCACCACTTTCAATCTTTAAAACTGAACAGGCTGGGCCAGCCCGGTGGTGCACTGCTACAGTGCGCCGCTTGGGAAGTGTGGCAGCGCTCCCGCCGAGGGTTCGGATCCCACATACAGACCAGCCGCCTCACTGGCTAGAGCCGCTCACTGGCTGAGCGAGGTGCGGGAGCAACACCGAGGGTTGCGATCCCGTTGCCGGTCCCGGTCCGGTATGGGCGCAACACTGAGGGTTGCGATCCATTGCCGGTCACGAAAAAAGACAAAAAGGAAAAAAAGAAAAAAAAAAAAAAAAACTGAACAGGCTGAAGTTTGAAGTGGTATGGGAGAAAAACACTCACAACAAGCTTTCACTCTAAAACCATTTCCTGTTCAAAGAAATCAAAATATTGCTAAGCAAAACAACCTTTGATGTGTACAGTTAATAATGAACATAGAAAACAAACTTCTCCCCAGATCTCTGGTTTATCCACACCATTTTCCTTTTCCAGATATCCCATTCTTCTCTCTATATATTCAATATAGTAACAGGTAGAAGGTCCTTGACATCCTTATATTAGGAGCTGTTTGTGAATCAGTATAGAAATAGGTATCTCTGACATATGCACATTTTTGTACATTATTCTGCTTAGTCCTGGTCCATATACAAAAGGATATAGTAGATACTGAAGAACAAATGGAAAATAAAGCATGTTCTTCGAGAATTTTCCATATTTCTTACATTTATGGGGAAAAAGGTAATCAAAATATGGTTTATAATAGTTTTCTTCTAAAAGTGTTTCATCATTAAGCTTCTCCAACTAGATGGTGGCATAAATATCAATACTAGAGTGTTTCATTTTTGTCCATAAAAACTGCATGTGTGTGTGTGTGTGTGTGTGTGTGTGTGTGTGTGTATACATATTTTTTTTTTTTAAGTGTATATAGGCATATGGATCTGACAACTATTTGGTCTCCATTATACATTTTGTGCCTTGGAGAAAAAAACAAATATTGTAGTTATAAACCTACACCACATGAGAAGCCAGAAAAATTTAGTTAACTTGCCTACTCTAAGTAGTCTTTAGGAGTGTCAATAGAAACAAATGGTAAAAAAAAATCCAGATTTGATTGCACTCGCCCTCTTATTTTATTTCAATAAATTACTATTGGTAAAAAGAAAAAGATACATTATGATAAAACTAATACTTTTTACAACTATTTTAAAAATAAAATGTCTCTGAATGTAATTTTCATTTTGAAGTAAAAAGATGCTATTTGTTTTGGATGACAACATTAAGTCAATACACAGAAGAAATAAAATACTACATTGAATCATCTTGTCCTTAAATTATCTTTTTAAACAATGTTGATTTTAAAAATGTTAAAACACATTATAAAGACATTGCCACCATGAGCCCAACTTTTAGAGCCCATACAATTATATAAAGGCTTTTTTTTTTTTTTTTTTTTTTTTTTTTTTTTGTCTTTTTTTTTTCCGTGTCCGGCAACGGATCGCAACCCTCAGTGTTGCCCCCGTACCGGACCGGGGACCGGCAACGGGATCGCAAGCCTCGGTGTTGCTCCCGCGCCTCGCTCAGCCAGTGAGCGGGAGCCGGTCTGTATGTGGGATCCGAACCCTCGGACGGGAGCCTCAGCCAGTTTCCCAAGCGGTGCACTATCCAGTGCGCCACCGGGCCGGCCCTATATAAAGGCTTTTAATCCATCACCCCAAAGCTTACTTCCCTTAAGGGGGGAAAAAAGGATGCAAAAATCCAAAACAAAACTGAGGCTTACTGCAACATGTGTTCATGAGCCATGGTATCCTACTATACTAATGATCTGAATATAATGAAATATGAAAAATCACACACAGAAATAATTAGTGGGAAATTTTAAGAGGTAAGACAAAATTCAATGACAGAAATATTGATACCATGACAACATTTAAGTGTACATCTTAAATATTGTAAAAATCCAACAAGATACAAAAATTTGGCTCTAAAATTCCTTTGGTTACAGAGATATAATTACTTTGTGTTTTAAATAAATATATCAAAACATCAAATTTGGGGAGTATGATCACTCCACTATAATACATAATTATATCAATAGTAAAGAATGGTGTGCAAATGAAATGGTCAATAGTGCCCTATACCGGTTTCTCTTGGGAACTGGTTCTTCATAAATATCTTAAACACTGTTACATTTGCCTTTACATGATTTCAGTAAAACTAAAGTATTTCAGTTTCAAAGAATTATTCAACTTTCTGTTCTAATGATTGCATCCATTTCACATTTTAAAATATAACTGAAGACCATAGAAATTTTCTAAATAAACATGTTATTTAAAATCGTATTTTAAGTAACTAAAGATTTAAAAATTCATCTATTAATTCAAACAATCTGAATCTGAAGATGTACCTAACACATAAGGAAACCTGGCAGAGGCATACAATGCCTGATCACTGCTAGTTACCAACAGCTAGCTTTGCTATTAAATTCAGATTTCATTAAAATTAAAATTACTTATATGCATCCCTAAAACACAACCAAATATACTGGAATGTCAAACAAACATTTGTTTTTTCTTTAGTTTTCCTGATGTTGGAGAAAGAGCATATTATTGAATGACTAACACCTATCTTTTCATGTAAAATTTTTTAAAGCTGACTCATTTTTGACATTATATAAGGGTACTTCAAAAAGTTCATGGAAAGATTAGTATTATCTTTTAATTCTATTTTTCTATGAACCTTTTGAAGTACCCTTGTATATTTTAAAGGGAAAAAATATGGACAAGGGGTTTAAAAGCCCTTGTGGGATCAGCACTTCACATGACTACAAGCAAATTAAGCTGTTTAGATTCGATGACAGGCTGTACCGCACCATACAAAGACAAATTTCTTCAAAGTTTACACTCTTACAGTATACACGGCAATGCACTCATATTGTAAAATGTTACTTTTTTGTACAGATGAAGCAAAACAAATTTTTTAGTGGGTGACACACAAAGCAGAGAAGTTTTCAACAGTACTGGTCAGTGGCACCTGCTCCTGTGTGGCTTTCGTCTGATGACTGAGCAAGAGCTTTGTGTTAGGTTTGCTTTGTTGTCCTCTGTTCTAGTTCATGCTGGTGTTTAATAAGACGTTCTATTTCTGTTCCAAGTGTTTGGAGATTTTCCTTTAATAATTAGGGGAAAAGACGGGAAGAGAAAACAAAACTACTAAGTATAATAAATAAAAAGATTTGGTTTGAACTATTTTTGCCTGAATTTTGAAACTGAGTGATCCTCAGTCCTAAGTGCTATGTAAGACAAAACAGTCACACAGCTGTTTTCAGTAGTCCTTTCCATTTCAAAGTCATACTCAATCTCTTCACTGAAGCTACAGCAATTTTTAGTGCATAAAATGATTACTTACCAGATTTAAGAATTTCTTAAAAAACCCATTACTAACTATCAAGGCCCAAACACAGCAAAAACAGAATAGTTGGGTCAGATAACAGATGCAAAAAATAAAGCTGGAAAATATATCAGATATGTCATAATCAAAAAATTATGTTTTAGCAATTAATTATAACTAGTCAATAATATATGTCAAAGGCCATCCACTGCAAATAGCTAAACTGATTTTTGGTATTTCTTCATGTTTTTTCACTAGTTTTAAAAATTGTGCTTTTCAAAAAGAAAAAAACACTAAAATTTTATCTCTGGGTGAAATGACTATCTTGCATTACAGAAATAGCCCATCTAAGTGCTAGATCAGACTACGAAAGAGGAATCATTTTGTCATGTTTATTGCTTGGTAAGTGACTAATGCAAATACCTTCAAAGTAATATTTTTTAGTAACGTATCCTCCAAAACAGCCTGTAATTTCCGGTTGATCTCCAAAGAGAGCTCCAGGGTTAATCCACTGTCAGCTGGATGAGATGTATATAAAGACGCCATGATACCACCCCGTCTACTTAAATGGACTTTGTTAAAATCAGATGCCTCTGAAGAAAGTGTGCCCGATTCTTCCCGCAAAATGTAACTCTGAATTACTCTGCAAAACAAAACGACAGTATCAGTTATATACTTGTAGAATTAAAACACTGGAATTTGTACGAGTCAACCAGTCATAAGCATAAAATGATTAGCATAAAATAAATACCTATTAGGTTAATAACCTAACTATAATAGAAATTTTTCTTATTCAGATGATTTCTTAAACTATCCCATTTTTGTTCTATCATGGTATCTAGATTAAAGACATATAAATACTGCTTTTTTATTTCTTCCCTAAAATATCGGAGTGATTTATTACTCCAGCTTCTGTTAAAATTTTATATTTTCCTATTATTAAACTCAGAACTACCTTTCTATATTTTACTTTCTCTTAAAAGTCATAAGCAAACTTTTCTGTAAGTCTAAAAGTATTTCAAAATAAAAATTAAGAAGTCATGGGAAAAGACCTGAAATATAAAAACAACTCTTCTTTAAATAAATATGGTTATTTGTGATAGGAATTCAGCACAGCACAGGCTCCAGAGTCAGTCAGAGCTGGATTATATCTCCAGCTCTAGGTCTGTCACTTACAGGATGAGCAGTAACCCTGGAACATTTAGTGATTCGACCTGAGCCCTATTTAACATATCTGCAAAATCAGCAAACTCACTCTCACCCTGAGTAGTTGGTAAGGAATCAATGATATACTACTAAGCCACAGGCACAGTGCCTTGCATGTGCCCGATAAATTACCCCACTGTGTCCTACCCAACAGGAAAAAAAATCCACAACCCTATATGTCTCTTACAGTCACAGCCATGAAAACAAAAAGCTAAGTAGAACACTATCTTTTTTCACTCCAAAGTAATTTTAGTACGTTAAAAAAATTAACACCTACTGAACTCATGTCACCTTAAAGGAAAGACCTGTGTTTTCTTTCCTCTCTGTATTCTCAAAACCTAGAACCTAATAGGTGATCATAAAAGATTGGGAACTAAATGATAATAATTAAGAATTATTTTTTGAAAGATAGACTCTTGATATGATTAACTTTGAAAAGAGCAACTTTACCATATGAATATGGTATTTTGAACAGTTTGTACTACCATAATAATACATACTTTGTTTTTTTCCTAATGTCTTCCACTAATTGTTTGATGTGGTCCTCCATAAATTCTATCTTTTCGTTTTTCCGGGCATGTGCTTTTTGCAGCCTAACTATCCTCTCAATCAACATGGCCTTGTCTACTTCTGGAAAGTTATCCACAGCTACTGATGACCCCATGTTTTCTGGTGATCGATCTTCTGCACTACTCCGAGCATTAAGGGACCCTGAAGACAAAAAATAAGTTTAGATGCTGTACTTAGTCTAGAACCATCTCTAATCTCATATAATATTTATTCCAGTATCATTTTCAAATATTCACTCTAACACAGTTGGACACAGAACACAATACAGGTATGAATGGTCTGAGTTCTTGTTTCTGAATGTACTGATAATAGAAATACCAACGCAGTCTATTATATGTCTCAGAAACAGGATGCAGAAGTGGCAATACTTTTTCAAGAAAAAGTCAGAATCACAAATCTAAAGTGAGACCAAAATTAAACTACAAGACAATAGAAAAAAGCAGAGAGCGGGAGAGAGGGAGGAAGGGAGAGGCAGGTGTACAGAGAAGACAGAGTAAGAAAAGATAGAATATAGTGGGGTAAAGACCTGCAGCCAGCCTGCCTAGGTTCAAATCCTACTCCTCCACTTACTAGCTATGTGACTTTGGACAAATTATTTAACTATCAGTGCCTTGGTTACTTCATCTTAAAATGGGAATAGTAGTATTATTTACCTTATAGGATTGTTACTCTCATTTAAATGAGTTAATATATATGAAACACAGAACAGTGCATACTGTAAGCACTAGGTAAGTGTTAGCTATTGTTTTTACCAACATCAGTGAGAAGAATTTCTGATTCTTTTTACTGTACAAAGATATGGTGTTTTCCAACCCCATTTTTCAGATTTAAGACAAGTAATGGTATCCAACATTATACATCAATAAATGGCAGAGCTGAGATCTAAATAACTATCTGTAATTTCAAATCCATGTTCTTTCTACCACACATTTTTTCCCACTATTGTAACAGTTGATGATATTTTTCCCTAACGTGCCACTCCTAGAGGACAGTATAGTATAGCAACAAGCAAGGACTCTGGAGTTGAAGAGTTCTGTCACTGTGGACTTTGGGCAAATCATGTAACCCCTCTGAATTTTGGTTTCCTCATCTGTAAAATGGGAATTATGACTCACCTCACAATGCTGTTCTGCAAAGTAAATGATATATTTAAGGTGCTTAGCATGGTTCCTGGCATCCCCAAAATGATAAATACACTGATATTTTGCTAATTATCATTTTCACAGTAATATCAATCATAATATTACAGACTACTTTTGTTTTAGATCATAGACATGTCTATCATAAGAAAAGCCAAAAGAAAAAAAAAGGCTAAAAGATTAAAAAATATATATGGAGATATACTACGGGTCCTTCAAAAATTTCATGGAAAAATAGAATTAAAAGATAATACAAATCTTTCCATGAAATTTTTTTTTTTTTTTTTTTTTTTTTTTTTTTTTTTTTCCGTGTCCGGCAACGGATCGCAACCCTCAGTGTTGCCCCCGTACCGGACCGGGGACCGGCAACGGGATTGCAACCCTCGGTGTTGCTCCCGCGCCTCGCATTGTTGCACAGAATAAAGAAGAAGCAGATAAGAAAAAAGAGGTACAGAGACAGATCATATAGAGCCCCATGACAAACCTGAAACTGTGAGTAATGATTAAAACATTTAACCAGAAACATTTTTTACAATATCATTATATATAACTACCACTTTTAATACTTCAAAATGCAACAAAACATATCAATACTTTTTAAAACAAAAAATGCTACTTATTTTATAATCAATCACTAAATAAAACTAATGCCATTAGTTTTTTACCTGATGAACTAGAACGACTTCCCATGCTGCTGACTTCTTTATCATAGCTTCCATTGTCAACCTGATCTAATTTTCTTCGTGCTACAGAAAAAAATGGATTACTTGTGACAATTATCATGACTACTTGTCCACCATCTCTGATTTTAATTGCTGCAATCACTTAGACAAAAATGGCACAGACAACAAGAGAAAGTTCTTTTTTTTTTTCCTTTTTGTCTTTTTTCGTGACCGGCAACGGATCGCAACCCTAAGTGTCGTGCCCGCACCGGACCGGGACCGGCCACGGGATCGCAACCCTTGGTGTTGCTCCCGCCCCTCGCTCAGCCAGTGAGCGGCCGGTCTGTATGTGGGATCCGAACCCTCGGCGGGAGCGCCACCACACTTCCCAAGCGGCGCACTATAGCAGTGCGCCACCAGGCCGGCCCATAAGAGAAAGCTCTTAAATACATACTTTAAAGAAAGGGCTGTAGGTGTCACTCATATAAAACGACATTTGGAAATGTATGGGTCAAATACAAAATATACAGAAACAACATTATGACAACTGATACTGGCATCACTTAGTTTCAATGAACCTAACTTTTAGAGTCCTGAAAAGATTTAGAAAATCCTTACAGTACCAGAAATTTCTCCCAAATTTCCCTTCAGTTGCATCTATAAAAACAAACTGAATTCTTATGGCAAATAACTGAATACATTCATAAGCATATGCTCTAAATCTTTTTTTTTTAAAACTATATTTCACCCTATTTTATCAAAATAAAGCAATGGGGAATAGTACAGAATAGAAAACTGTAGTACATGTCTTATCCATCTTTGTATCTCAATACATTATAGCACAGACACTCAATAATTATATGAATTTTTAAATGAAAGAAATCTAAGTTCCAGTTCTTGTTGTCATTGTTGTGTTTGGGTAATTAAAACCTTCCTGGTCTGTTTCAGGAGATCCAGATGAAAGCTAATAGGTCTCGGTGATCTCTAAGTTAGAAGTCTGCAAGGAGGAGTGCAGGTACCCTAGATGCCACACAAAATAATTCAAAGGCTTGTGTAGGGAGAAAACATTAGTAACTTCTATTTATACTTATCTTTAAAGATAGATCTTTCTAAATTTCTATTTTTCATCTGTTTTCTAATATACATAAATGAGTAATACATGTTTCAAATTTAAAGAACATATATAAATTGGAAAACAAATGCTTAAATACTTTTTACTGACAGAAGCATGTAACTAAAAAAGTTTAGATACTACTGCCCTAAGATACTTTCCCAATTCTCACTTTTTGGGGTTCTGTGAACAAATGCTCTTTAACATATGAGATAGACTATTCATGGAATTGCAAGTTTAGCCATCTGGTTTATGAACATACAGCTCCAATCAATGTGGTAGACAGAACCTGATGTAAAATATTTTTTTTCCGATAAAATCCTTAATGGTTAAAAGAAGCACACATATTCAAGGTCCAGTGTGGAAGAATTTTATACCTTGCTGAAGTTGTTTGGTAAGATCCTTGACACTAGAGGCATGTTTGCGTCTTTGAGTTACTAACTCATCTTTTAATTCATCTACCTGGGTACTCAATGCTTTAACTTCTGTTTGTCTACAAGTGAGTTCAGCTTGCAAAGTCTGGACTTCCTCTTTTCGCAGTTCTTCCTCTTTTGCCAATCTACTTTCCTGAATATTAATAAGAAAAAACAAAACACCAACTTTAATATGTTTGTTTCCATTATAGCTGACAGTTTAAAAACTTAAACATATAAGGTCCTTGACAGTAGAGATTCTCCTACCATTATTCCTTACCGGGCTTTGTTCACTCAGCTCCTCAAAGTCCTCGCATGGCAAGGCAGAGGGATACATTAATGAGTATACTGTTCTATATGTGCAAAACAATCTGTGATGTAGGTCTCTCAATTTTTAGTCTAAAATCTCAAATTATTTTTGTGAGTAACTTGAAGACAAGCTTGTGGCTTGGAAATATTAAACCACTTCTAAACTATTAAAAAATAAAAATTTAAAGTATCTTTTAAAAAATATGTAATGATTCCAGTTAGGAAGGATAGGAATCATGGTTTTCTTATTTTCAAAAGTGAAATATTCTTCATAATCATTTTAGGGAGAAATTTTATTATACATTTTATCAGTTGAAAGGAAAAACTGATATTTCTTACAGCATCTGAAAGTACCAGAAAGTCAGTGACAACAGAAAACAGCTTAAATCAACTACCACCACTTTTATGCTGTTAGGAAAATTTGTGCTTATTGCTATGTTGTTTTGAAAGTTTTAAAATGTACATTTATACTTACCAAATTAACATTTGCCTGTTTCATTTGTTCACATTGGCTTTGTAACTGACTTTCACTACAGAAAAGTTTATCAAATTGTGACTGCAAAGAATTGGATTCAGACTGAAGCTGTGCATTCTTACTAGTGAGCTTTTCTGTAAACAGTAGTAGCTCCGATTCTCTTTTCCTACTGCCTTCGATGTCTTTTTGTAGGTCATAAATCAAAGAATTAAGACTTTCCACTTCTTCCTTCAAATTTTCAATTTCTTGTTTACCTCTAAAAAACAAAGTTTATATTTAAGAAAAAATTAAACTTTAAAAGACATTAAATTAATGGTTTGGGAATTTTCATCTAATGAAAAGTTTATAAACATACTTTTATTCATTCATACAAATATTTACAAATGCCTAATACAATGCCAGGAGCTAAAAGCTCAGAATATAAGTGAGAAAGATCAACATGGCCCCTGCTTTCAAAGAGCTTTTAGTCAAGCAGGGAAATTATATGAGAGTGACAGAACATTTTTGATGAGGAAAACACAGAGCAGGTCGCCTAAACTAGTATAAGTGGTACTCAAACCAATACTTAATGTAGGGGTTAGCACCATTTGCCTGCAAAGGCCAGATAGTAAATAAGTTGGGCTTCTGGACCATATGATTTTTGTTGCTACTGTTCCATTCTATTATAGTATGAAGGTAGCCATAGACAAAACATAAATGGAAGAGTATGGCTATGTTTCAAAAAAAACTTCATTTACAAAAAGAGGTAGTGGGCTGGATTTGGCTCATGAGCCATAGTTTGTTGATCTCTAACCTAAAGGAAAAGCAGAAGTTAGTAGGAGAACAAACTATGTTCCAAGTAGAAGGAACAGTACGTGCTCAAGCTGGGAATGAAATAAAAGAAGGACTTCCTTTTGGCACTAACAAATATTCAATATTGATGAGAATAAGGATTGTATTGTCTCCCTAGCACTTAACACAGGGTTTGGCACATAGGAGACAATCCATAAACACTGTTAACTGACTACAACTGAAACACAAGTGTGAAACAGAGGAAGGCACAGACAAAGTAACGGACAAGTCACTAAACTTATAAGCCTTGGTAAGGCATTTGAATTCACTAGGCAACTTGAGACAATAGGAAATCACTGAAAGATTTTGGAAGATTTCCTTTCTTAAATATATTTTACTAACCACAGTGTAGAAAATGGATTACAGAAGAAGAAAGCAGAAAAACCAGTTTACAAGTGGTGGCAGTTTTCCAGATGAGAGTTGATAATGACTTGAACTATGATAGTAGCAGTGGGGATGTAAAAAGTAAACGGACTTGAAAGATATTAAAGAGTTAACATCACTAATACTTTGTGACTGGTTAGATGTGTGAGGGGAAGGAGGGAAGAGCCAAGGATGGCTTCCAGGTTCCTCGGTTGAACAGTCATCTGGATGCTACACTCATCACTCATCTAGAAACATGACAACAGATGCATACCTGTGGGCGGAGGAATCAATTTTGGACATCTTAAAGCTTGAGGTGTGTCGAGCTCTTTTACCTGCCCATAATCCTGCCAACTAGGCCAATTGTCGGGCTCTTTTACCTGCCTGTAATCCTACCGACTGGGCCAACTGTCGAGCTACAGCGCCACCTGGAGCTCACAGACCCCTCAAGCCCATTCACAGACTGTGTCGCAAACCCTTCACACACCAGGCTGGGTCCCCAGACCTCTCACATACCAGGCTGGGTCACCAGACCCCTCATACGCAGGTCTGTGAGCTAGGTTACCGGCAAACAGGTCTTTGGAAGCCATAGGTTGGAGAGCATGGCTGCACGAGATGGACACCCAAGGCAGTCCATGCCAGCCAGGTCATGGCGCTGCCCATGTGCACTAACTCCACCCACACACAACTGGTTTACAAAGAATGTGCTGCACCACCCCCAACTGGACCTAAGGCGAGGAGGCCTGATTAAATTATTCTATTTTCCCAACAAGGTGTCTTCGATACTTGTGTGCTTAGAGCTCAGCAAAAAGAGCTAAGAAGAAATAATCAAGAAAAAGTCTGAGAATGCAGAAGAGCAGGATCCACAGCAGAAGCAGAAAGAATAACTCAATTCAGACAGGCGCAGGAACATTTCTTCCATAACAGAAGCCAAGGAAAGAATGGTTGTAGATCAGGCAGTTCATAGGGATAACAGCAAGAAGTTGAGAGAACTTTACGTGACAGCTCCCATTTTTTTCTGTGAAGAAGTAATCACTTGCCAAGAGTAGATAGAGAGGTAAAGGGAAACACCAAAGTGTGAAGAAAGTGGTAAAATTTGGAATAAATGCTAAGAAGATGGGGAGGAAGGTTCTGATCAAAGACACATGGTAGGATTTGAGGTACATTAACACTCCCGGTTGAGGCTGGCAACTTTGAATTTACAGCAGCATCAATTTGGATGATGGTGAGGATTTCTCTAGCAACACTCAGCAGTGGGGTATTGGTAAGGTATGGAAAAGATACTTAAATTCAACCTGAATCCAGGCTCTTTCAGGTGTCATGAGTAAAGTTTAAATGGTTTTTTATAAGCCAAGAAACAATATCCGCTCCTGACCTCAAGCTACACACATGCAAAGATCTAAACCTAGACAGTATAGATCTAGATTTACCTTTTAAATGAAAAAGTAAGTACTGTGCATAAGTAACTGAATTTGAAAGCAAAGGAAATAAATAAACTAAACCCATTCTGTCTTATAAATTGTTACTGCCAATGTTTAGGGAATATAAACTTTGATTTGTAGAAGCCACGATGAGAACACAAAGGCAATCCAAAAAAGTTCAAATGAAGAGAGAAATTTAAAAGTTTTTAGCTAGTAAATAAGAAAAATTATTCGTTTAATGCAACAACTGTATTTAAAAACAGAATCTTGAGATAGAATTAAAAAGCTTTTTTTTTTTTTTTAACACAAACACTAGTTGCTCATTTTTTTTAATACCTTTGAAGCTGCTCCTGTATCTGATCTGCAATTTTCACTCGGTCCAATAAATTCTGAATTTCAGCTTTTTGGCGATTAATAATTTCCTTATATTTTGATAATTCATCTTCTGTTCTCAATCGTTCATCTTCTAGACATTTCACCTATCAAATGATCATAACCAAGTTAAACTACATATAATATTTTTTCATTCTTTATAAACTATTTCAGATAGTGGTTACATATTAATAATCCAAGCTGAATTCTAAAGCAGTATTAGTTAATGTGAAAAAAATATAATGGGAAGTTAACAGTCCTGGCTTTCCAATCTCAGATTTCTTATGATTTAGTCATGGCAGTTTTAGTATGTTATTTTATTTTTACTCAATCTCCATTTGCTCATCTGAAAAAGGATACATCTTCCCTACCTACCTCAAAGAACTGGCAAGGAGAACAAATAGGAAGAGATAAAAAACACTTTGAAAATTATTAGGTGATCTCAAATTCAAGGTGGTTATTTAAAAGACTATTTCTTTTTTTTTTTTTTTTTCTTTTTTTTTTTTTTTTTCTTTTTTTTTTTTTTTTTCTTTTTTTTTTTTTTTTTCTTTTTTTTTTTTTTTTTCTTTTTTTTTTTTTTTTTCTTTTTTTTTTTTTTTTTCTTTTTTTTTTTTTTTGTCTTTTTATCTTTTTCCGTGTCCGGCAACGTATCGCAACCCTCAGTGTTGCCCCCGTACCGGACCGGGACCGGCAACGGGATCGCAACCCTCGGTGCTGCTCCCGCGCCTTGCTCAGCCAGTGAGCGGGAACCAGTCTGTATGTGGGATCTGAACCCTCGGGCGGGAGCGCCGCCGCGCTTCCCAAGCGGCACACTTATCCAGTGCGCCACCGGGCCGGCCCTAAAAGCCTATTTCTAAATAAATGAATGATATACAATAATAATATATCACATTCATATTTACATTAAAAGGGATACTAGCCTTACAATAAAAACTAAAAACACTGTTAAGGGTTTAATAGACTGCTAGAAATTAAAATTGTAACCATCTAAGACCAAAGAAAGTCTTCCTATTATTTTCTGACACTCACAGTTCTAAGGTCCAACTATCTTTCCAATGGATTTGCTGGTAAGACTGTCCTTGGATCAGAGGCCCAAGGATAAGTTATAAATGAAGCAAATGTTCTACAGAAATAATAGAAATGTTTGGCAAACACTTCAAAGGAAGACATTCATTTCAACAGAAGAGTCAACTATGTTGCTAGGGAATTGCTATTTTACTCCTCTGAGTCTTTTATTTTGAAAAATTTCTTTATAAAAATCCTTTCTCCACCACTTTAGAAATAAATATCCTTTCTCCACCACTTTAGAAATCAGAATGAATCTAAAATTAAATATATTTACCCTTCCTTTGGAGTCCTGACTAAAGATTTAATTACCTTTGTTCTTAGCGTTCGTAGCTCATCCATACCCTCCTTAAATGTCCTCTTCAGATCTTCGAGTTCCTTTATTTTGGCATGATGCATCTTTAAAAAAGTTCAAAAGAAACCACAAATCATAATGCACTAAACTAGATCTAAAAGTTTAGTGCCTGCTTCTTCCAAAAGGCCTTAAATGCAGATGGCAATAAGTACTCACTGTTTCTCTCTGTCGGTGTATAATACACAATCTAGGATACACGATGAACAAAACTACTTACCTCTAGCTGGTCAGATTTTTCTTGCATTTGTTTTTCAAGTTCTCCTCTTGTGACTCTAAGCTTTGCATCAAGCTCATTTGATTTAATTTCTTCTGACTCCTAATGGAAAGGAAATAAGAGTATGACAATTTTAAAAGTTGTATACTTTGGAAAGTGAAGAAGGCTTTGCAACTAAGTTTACTAATTGTGAAATACATAGCTTATGTATCTAACATCAAAGACTGCATTAAAAGATTTTAAATGTCAATTTTGCATGAAAAAGAACAGCACACTTAAGATATGTAACATAATACAGAGTAGTTTAGTGTTTTGTCTTTAAGTTTCACATTTCCTTGTACTCTTCATTCCTTCTCACAATTTCTAGGGTTTTTATTTGATTGAAAACTTCTCTAAAATAAGATCCATTTTAAGCTGCAGGTACTTTAACAAAGGAAATAACCTGCCATTTGTTTCACTGCCCTACCAAATCCTTTCTACACTTCAAATATTGCAGATATAGAAATTTAATGAAAGAAGAGTACTGATATTGGGCCGGCCCAGTGGCGCACTCAGTAGAGTGCGGCGCTTGGGAGTGCGGTGGCGCTCCCGCCGAGGGTTCGGATCCCATATAGAGACCGGTCCGCTCACTGGTTGAGCGTGGTGTGGGTGCGACACCGAGGGTTGCGATCCCGTTGCCGATCGCAGTACGGGCACGACACCAAGGGTTGCGATCCCGTTACCGGTCACAAAAAAAGACAAAAAGGAAAAAAAAAAAAGAGTACTGATATTTAGTATAATTTGTTACTAATCCATTTGAAAAGTTAACCATACCTGATATGTTTTTATCATATCCTGACAGTTTTTTCTTATCTGATCTGCTTCTTCTTTTGCTTGTGTTAACTTTGTTGTTGTTTCTTTGAGTTTATCTTTGGTTTCCTGCATTGACAAAAGACAAAGACAAGCTGGTCACAGTGATGTGATAAATGGTAAGAAGTGGCCAGAAAGTAGGGAAAGTTCTTGTCCTAGCACTGCCACTGAGGGGTCAGATACTATTCTAGCAATAACATTATATGATTCTGACAAAAAATTAAAATGGTTTGTGCAGTTAACTGATAGCTACTAAATAAAGTTAAATTTGATAGAGTTTTCAGCAAATTACTAGAAGTTACTAACCTGATAAGAGCAAAGTATTAAATGGTTCCCTGCACACATGCATACAAGGTAATTCTTTGGTTTATGGCTGTGGTATCTATCTAAAACTGTCATTCTATAGATTAATGCTGCAACTTGATTTCTGTCCCTAACCACTCTCCTAAAATGGCAATTCTAAAGGTTTTCAGGAACTACTCTCATCAAATCCAATTTTTTTTTCTTGTTCCTATTCTTTACTTTCCTGCTGCAGTCCAACCACCCCTGACTCTGAAAATCCTTCCTGTTTCCATTACAAGACAATGTTCTTTTCTTTCTTCCACAGTCATTGTTCCTACACTGGCTTCCTACTTCCTGCGGCAATTTTCCAAGACACAACCCTTGACCTGGAGCTCTTTCTCTGTAATTCTGCTTCAGAGAACCAATTCAATGCTATGGTTTTGGCGATCAAGTGGAATTTCAAATGAGAGTTTAGGTATAATTTCCTGTGAGTAGCTTCCCTTCAGAAAGGGGCAAATGCTGCTACTCTGTCTTTCCAGAGATGTAATCTAGGAATGCCCTGGACTATAACAATTAATTCGCTATACTACAGCTTATATGTATGTTTCCCCAATTAAGTATATAACTTCTGGACAGCAACTAGCTCAGTATTTGTCACATATTAATCAATCATCCAACTAATATTTAAATTAGTGAAGGAATACCTTATATATACCTTCTGGTCTAGTTAGGTTGCTCTCCCCAAACACCAAATACTCATCTCCCTTTGTTCCTTTTTTCCTGCTTGAAATGCCTTTTCCTTCATCTTCTGAACCATCTAAATTGCATCTAAACTTCACACACTGCTACTTTTTTGACTTTTTTTTTTTTTTTTTTTAATAAATCTGCCATACAATTCAGTACTTATACACTTTCAGTTGCTGGTCTTTAACAACAATTTGACTAGTATTAAAGCTTTGTATTGTTTTAAAAATATAAGCAACTATTTGGATACTTTTTCAAATACTGACTTTTTAGAAATACTAGACTCAAAGAGAAGATAAAGAAGAAGAACTTTACCTGGTTTTTTTTCCCTACTACCATATCATCAATAACTGAAACAGAGCCTGGCACACAGCAGGCACTTACTTCATTCACTCAAAAAATAGCATCTCAGAGATTCCTATATGCCAGATAAATATTTATTAAATAAATACATTTTGAATGAAGAAAAACATCAGAATCACATTAAATGTGTTCAGATTAAGGTACTGACTGTGTTTCATCTACTCATTTGTTCAGTATCCATTGAGCACCTACCACACACCAGACACTGTTCTATGCCCTAGGGAAATAGTTGTGTACAAAAACAGACAAAATCTCTACCCTTATAAAGCTGATATTCTTTTTTTTTTGTCTTTTTCCATGTCCGGCAACGGATCACAACCCTCAGTGTTGCCCCCGTACCGGACCGGGGACCGGCAACGGGATCGCAACCCTCGGGGTCGCTCCCGCGCCTCGCTCAGCCAGTGAGCGGGAACCGGTCTGTATGTGGGATCCGAGCCGCTGTTGGAAGCAAAAGCACAGGAAAGTCAAAGATTGGAGACCACAAAAATGGTTTAAAAAAAAAACAAAAAGGAGGGGATGTGGGGGAAATCTATGTGGAGGGCTAACATTGTCCACAGCTGTCAAGTCAAACCCTTAGATGGGGAAGAAATTCATACAAATGATGAAATGAGGACTATAGTAGTTCTTAGCATGGGGCACCTGCGTAATAACTTCGTATAGCATTGCCGAGCTTCCCGAGCGGCGCACTTATCCAGTGCGCCACCGGGCTGGCCCCTAAAGCTGATATTCTAGTGAGGCGATAGATAATAAATAAAATACACAAGTAAAATATGTACTATATTAGTGACAAGTGCTAAGGAATAAAAATAAAGCAATGACATGAGAAAGTTTGGGGGAGGTACTGAAAGTTTAGATAGGGTAGCCAGGGAAAGTCTCATTGAGAAGGTGATGAGTGGGCCAAGCCCGTGGCGCACTTGGGAGAGTGCGGCATTGGGAGCACAGCAGCGCTCCCGCCGCAGGTTCGGATCCTATATAGGGATGGCCTGCGCGCTCACTGGCTGAGCGCGGTGCGGCCGGTCTCAAAAAGGACCAAAAAAAAAAAAAGAAAGAGAGAAGGTGATGAGTGAAGACTTGAAAGAAGTGAGCAAGATTTGCAGAGGGATTGAATATAGTGACTAAGAGAAATCAAGGACAAATCCAAGGTTTGGGGCCTGAGCAACTAAAAGGATGGATTGCCATTTACTGAGATAGGGAGGAAATGGAGAGAAGGGGCACATTATTAGTTCAATTTTAGATGTGTTAAGTTTAATATGCCTATAAATCGTTCAAGATGTCAGATGTCAAGTAGCCAGTTGAATATATGAATCTGGAGTTCTGAATAGAACTGGGAGTCACTAGCATATAGTTTTCTACTGCTATGTTTTCAAGTACACCTATGTTGTCTGCAGTGTCTAATCTGCTGTTAATTCCAACCAATATATTTTTCATCTCAGACATTACATCGATTTGGTCTTTTTTATATCTGTTATGTCTCTCCTTATCATACTCATGTTTTTGTCTATCTCCTTAAACATATGGCATGTACTTATAACAGCTGTTTTAACATCCTTATCTACTAATTCTATTATCTGTGTCATTTCTGGCTCTGTTCCTGTTGATTGATTCTTCTTTCCTTTTCATTATGGGCTATATTTTCTTGCTTCTTTGCATGTCTGGCAATTTTTGATTAGATGCCAGACAGCAAATTTTACACTCTTAGGTGCTGGAGTTTTTCATATTCATTTTAAATACTTTGAGGTTTTGTTTTGGGATATGATTTACTTCAAACAATTTGATTTGAGGCTCGTTTTTAAAGCTTTGCAAGGTGGGTCCATAACAGACTATAGTCTAAGGCAAATTAGTTCCCACTACTAAAGCAATACTGTTCTGAGGGCTACTTGATTGCTACACACACACACACACACACACACACACACACACACACGTATGTCATATTATTTTAGGTGCTCTGCCCTCTGCCCCACACTGCGAACCCTTTATCTCCTCAATTCAGGGAGACTGCTAGGCTCGGCTCAGGTTGCTCTCTTGTGCTGCAGCCTGAAACTCTTCGGGCAGTACACCTCGTGTGTTTCCCTTCACTCAGGGTCACTGTCCTATGCTGCCTGTTGTTCTGAGTCTGAAAATCTTCATTTCATATATTTTCTTGTTTCAGTTTTTTAATGTGGGAGGGTACATCTGGACCTTGATATTACATAATGCAACAGAGTACAGTCAATAGAAGTTACAGAATAGAACAGTTATAGAACAGAACACAGAATATAGTTTTACTAAATGAGATAAAATGTCAAAGCTAATTAAAAATGAGCCCTAGCTTCTAAATAGTTAATTTACTTTAATTATGAATAAATAAACCATTTAAGAATGAGGCCATTATTGACAATATGACAACCTTTGGAAAAGAGCTTATTAAGCAGCAGAGTTTTGCTTCAGGTGACCTAGTGGAGGGAACCTATTATAAAATATACCACCCCCTGGTCACCCATTAGATCTGCAGTATATTATAGTCTTGCATCCTGCTGGTCTAGATGTTGCCTCAACACCTGAAACTCCACTCTTGTAGCTTTCTCTGAAGCAGAAATATCTGGCAAGTAACTAGAGCAGCTATACCACAGTTGCTAAAGAACCACTGCTGATTCCATTACCAGCCATATCTGTGCTGCAGTGAGATGATCTTATCCTGAGATTAGGTAGGTGAAGAGTAAATGAGGTACATTGGGGAAAAGTCTTTTTTCTTTATTCACTAGACTCAAAATAAAAGGCTTTTGTTTTTAGAGAATAGGTGTTAACATGTTTCACAGTTACACCCCCAAAGGAGTTTAGGGAAGGGAACAAATAAGTTGTTTCTATTATTTCATCTACTGATCTGGGTATACATTCTACCTTGTCTGGACTAAATTCTGGTAACATGCCCTGGAGATCTGACCAAAAACTAATGATCACAGTGGATCCAGAAACCTACAGGACTCCAGTATTAGTACCTAAGACTTGGTGGGCAGGGACGAGAAATCAGAAAGGGTTCCTGGAGAAAAATTTACTAAGAGTCTCACATTTGTTGTCCACATCTCAAGAAGGAGCCTACACTTGCCCAGATCATGATTAAATCCTTTAATCCAAAGACTCCCTCTCTAGGTGAACACATAAAATAGGTAACCAGTAGCCCATCCCAGACACTTTTTGAAAGCACTGACTGTGTCTTCCATGGCTTTTATATCCTCCATATTGTCTAATACAGGCCACACACAGAACTAAATGCTTGCTGGTTAATAAATGCCTTTACTTAAAAAAACAAAAACAAAAAACTGGTAAATATCTAATTTCCACATACCAAGTCAATATACTTGTTATTTTCATTTTCTAGCAATCTGCATCACGTAACCTTTTAGAAGTGAGCTTTAAACCAACTCTCTAACCCACTTAAGAGTATCTAGTTTCATCTGACCTCAAAGTTGCCATTAAGAATCTTTTATCACCCATTCTTTAAACACACAGCACTCACAGAAGATCTGTAACAGTTGTTTACTCAATGCTAGTATTCAAATAGGTTTCAGGAATCCTGTCTCTTAGCACTACAGATGCAGAGGAAAGCACCACAGACATTAAATATGACCAAATATTACTTACAGATCTTGAATCAGCTCAGGCAGTTAAAAATCAGTACTGTCTTTATGGATTTGAAATTTTAATTCCTCATTCCCAAAGTAAAGGAAAAATTCTAAATGGCTCAGCCTTGTTGAGCTCTAGGGATTGTTGCCCTCCTCCTTTCTGGCAGGTCTTTTTCTGCCTTGCTAGTTTCCGCACATACATAAGCTGACCAGTAGGCAGCTTCAGACTTGAGGGGAACCCATCATTCTCTTACTTAATCTTTGACCACTGTCGATATAGACTGTTCTCCCTACAGTTTTCTCTAATACTACGTATGAATATCCAGAGGTTATTAACAGTTCTACTGATCTACAATTATTTAATGAAGTAATACATGATTATGTTTTTAAATAACATCATTAAACCTATTTTTCAAACCTTGGAAACTATGTCCATAACCTTGCTCTTCTGGTTAAGTGACAATTCAGAGTCGTTCTTTTACTTCATATGCTATCATCTTCAGATTTTTATTACCTCTAATACCAGCTCAGTTAATGTTTAAACTTATGGCATCGGGTACCAGTCTTTATAATTACTTTTCATTATATTAATTTTTTAATAAAATGATATCCACTAGGCACAATACCAATAGAATTATATTTATTAAAAAACAGTTAAGGAAACTTATTCTTAAAATATTTATTACATCCATTATATTTAAATAATTTATATTGCTTGATTATAAAAATCTTAGCATCACTGATATTTTTTACAATTTCCAGAGTTTACCTCCAATTTTGATAACTACCTATTCTCTTCCTTCCCCCAGAATTTCTGATGATGTTTAATTTAAATTTTGCATAGCAAAAAATACTTAAACATGGCAAATTTGGGTGTTGGAAACTATAAATGATAAAATTTTACATTCCATCTCATTTAATATGTAAATCATGCATCGAAATTTCTTTTTCATAATCACCAAATATTCAGGTGCAAGCTATCCTTCAAGAGTCACTAAACTAAGCTTTATGCCTCATTAACTGTTACTACATTTGTTCTTAAAACTAATACTAACCATTATTCCATTGCATTATAGTACTCACCTTATGTGAATCCATTTCAGCTTTTAATTTGTTTTGTGCCCACTTTACTTTAATGAGATGAGAGTTGATATCTTCCTTTAATTTGTCTATTTCTCTGATGAGTCTAGTCGTTTCACCTTCCTAAAATAATATCACTTGGTCATATTATTTTATGTAAACAATCCACTAATTATTTGTGTATCTTTTATGCCCCCTCAAAGTAATCAGTGCAATAACACCATAATTCAAAGACTGGCACACTATGGCCCATAGGCCTTAAATGTGATTGAAAGTTCACATGATGAGAGCAGTAGAATACTAAATCCAATTAATAGACATGAAGATGATTAACATTTATATTTTAACTAACTGGATGTGTTATGAGCACAAGAATACATTTATGATTCTTCTTAACTGGCTGGCATTAAGGTAATATATAAACTAAACAGGTTTTGCCAAAATTCCTAAAAACAATGACAACATTCCTGAACTAAAAGCTAATAAATAAAAAGTAACATTAATCACAAGAAATGATAATGCACTGGAAACATGACCACATCACAGGCTGCTATTTACTCAGCAAGGGTTCTAATTAGCTTGCTCAGTAATTAAATCTCCTTGGATAGCATCTAAGGGCATGTTTTCTATAAGAAAAAAGTAAATTCCATTCCACAGTGAATAAGTGTCATATTAACATTCTGGTCAAATTACTTGCTCTCCAACTATTCACATTTGATACTACGATGTACGTATTTTACCAAAATATAATTTTCTCTTGAGGCACAAACTAATTTCTCCAATATAGGGATTTTAAAGAATAGTTTTCAAAAAGATCTATCAAGAAAAAGCATCTAATAAACGACACCTGCCAACACCTTATCTTTCCCTGAACAAACACTTTTTATTTGCAGACTGTTAATGAGATACCAGAATTACAATAACACTCACATTCTTAGAAGGTAAACCAATAAAAACAAATTGATGTTTGAGTGTTTTAACCATGTTAAATTATGAATATTTGACTAATAAGGAAAAGCAAAGAGAACAAATTTCAAATAAGACGCAATGGCACAACTTATACCTTTGTTTCATACAGCTGGTGCAACCGTCCTTTCTCCTGAGAAAGCTGCTTAATTTTGTTAGTGTTTTTCTCAAGTTCCTTATTTGCATCTCTAAGTTTTCTCTCAAGCATCTCTTTTTCCTTTCGAAGGTCTAAAGATTCCTTCTCGCCTCTGACATACTTCATTACCATTGCTTCTTTTTCTTGGCGGGCCTCTTCACACTTCTTGTTGACCTTTGAAAAATATATTATCTAGCATTAATAAAAAATATTTTAAAAATACAAATACATTAAAATAAATATTATTTTTCTCTAATATTACCAATGTATTTTTTGGGTTTTGTGCAACATTCTCAGGACTTGTGCCATGAAGTTTTTAAATGAAAGAAAAAATTCAAAATTATAGAAAAATGATACACTATCACTAGCATCTGCTTTTACCCTTTCCTATTCCTTTTAGTTTGGCTGATATGATTGCTATTTTCCATTTACTCCTCCAGATCCCCTTTCCCATCCTGTGTCCCAAGAAGATGACCATCATTGACCATATCAACAAGTTTCCTTGCCTTCAAACTTCCAGTTGGGTTCAGCTAACAGGAGGCACTAGGCCAAGGCTCAGGAGTGGAATCAAAGTAAGATCTGGCTTCTCCAGAGTCAACACAGGTTGGCTGGAATCCACCGCTCCAGTCAGGTGTCCCTTCTGTACAATTATTCTTGCACCATCTGCTTCCTCTCCTTGTTCCTTCAGGCTGAAGGGTAATCACATCTCCTCTAGCAGCCCTAAGATCCTGCATCTTCCCTTTTTTCGGGCTTCTTAAACCTCACCCACACCTTTATTAAGAGTCCATTTATTAAATTCTCAAATCAGCAGTTTAAGCATGCCATTTGTTTTCTGCCTAAACCTTGTCTGTATGGCTGACAATTTCTTAAAATCTATCATCTTAGATCCCATGCCCAAAGTAAGCAGCCATATGTTAACTAATGATCATTTGATTTCCTACTTATAAAAAGCTTTCTGAAGTACTTCACGCTTGATAAGAAATACCTATTTGGATTAAGCGTGAAATCTATATACCCATTTTAAATTCTCTGTTAGTATAAGCTGGCACTCCATATTCTGCATTTTCACACAATGAAGATTTCTATAGATAGAACTTTTTTTAAGTAAATTCATGGTTTGCAAATATGATAGAGCACATATTTATCTTACAAAAGATAGAAGCTCAAATCTTAGGTATTTTCAACAGCAGATAGTGGCAAATGTCAACTGGATAATGCAACTGAATTGAAGAAGTTCACTATCAGAGTTAGAAGAATGTAGGAAAAGCTCCTACACTCTGATAAAAAGTGACTAACAAAAATGTCTCACAAAGTTCTGGTACTGTTAAGCACATATAGTTGACACTCAGAATGCTATATATATACATATAAGTACTTTCGTTAATCGCTCAACTGGGATTCGTTTCTATAGAAATAGCCTACTACTTTTCAAGCAAAATTAAGGAAAACATTGGATTAAGAATGTCACAGATCCCTGAGGATTTGACAATGTGTTTGTGGACAAGGATTGAGAAAATTATGCTGAAGTTGGCTGACAGAATTAGATTTTTAGATAACTGAAAGACTGTACTTAGAAAAAGTCAATGGTTCAATGTCAACCTTAAGAGAAGTCTGGTTTCACAAAAATTTAATGTTCAGATAATGTATTAGCTATTGGGAACACAAAGAAGAATAAATCATGGTCTCAGGAAGAGCTCACCACTTAGTGAGAAAGACATATAAACAAACATTGTAATATAATACAAATTCTAGTGGATGAACGTACAAAGTCCTTGGAAAACTCAAAATACTTACATTACCTGGGAAGAGTTGGCAGGAAGGGTAAAAGATACTATACCTGAGCTAGGTATTGAAGGTTAAGCAGGATTCAACAGAATACAAGGGATGAGTTATGGAAAGGAACTCAAGGCAGAGTGAATATCATGTGCAAACACCTAAAAGTATGAAATAGCATGATATATTTAGGAGGTATCAAGTCATTGTATGGCACTCAAATTTAGTGTGTTGGCTGGAGTGAGAAAGATCCTGAAAGGAAGAAGGGGTTCTCCTGCCATACTAAAGACTTGAGATTTTACCCTATAGGCAATGAAAAGCCAAGGAAAGATTTATAAACCAGAACCTTTAATTAAATGTGTGTTTTAGTATGATAACTGGTGGCAGCATGAAAGCTTCATTGAAGTTGAAAGGTCTCAGGAAGCAGAAAGAAAAAAAACCCAGAAAAAGACATTACAATAAATAAACTGAAATATTTTGAGGCTCTTTATTACAGAAGGAAATAATGCAGTAGATAACAGACCTCTTACTCAGAGTCATGCATGGATCAGTTTCAAAGGAATAACCTGGGTGCCTCTTAAGTCTACTTTCCTAGGTCCTGCCCCAGCTAAAGGCAGCACCGACCTCATAGGGTCACTGGAAGCATTCAATGAGATAATACAGTAACTGTTATTTAAGCTACTGTAGAAAGTCACCCCTATTTATGGCACAGATAAAGGAAGAGGAACCAGTTAAGGTCTTTGCATTTCACCAGTCTAACATGTTAACCATTGACTTGGATGAATATAAAGAAAGCATGAATAAGATCATCAACAGGATTCACAAGAGCCAGATAAAATTAAGACAGAAGTAGTATGGGAGATAAACCCTCCTCATTCAAAACACCAAAAATTTTAGATGAAATCTAACAAACATACATTTGAGTTCACAATAAAGTATGGGAAATCCCAAGGGCTTAAAAAATCTAAGGTGAGGCAGAAATACAGAATGGTATGCCAGGGCTGAAACCTTCACTGCCCTGTGGCCATTTACCAACACCAGGCCATGGTGCAGGGGCAGGGAGGCAGTGTAGGTACAGAACATGTTATTTTAAATTTTCAGAGAGTTTTCTCTGAAAATTTAAAATACAGCTCTCCCAGTAAGTTTGAGGGTTCAAATTCATTCTACCTATCTGGTATATAAAATGGGGAAATCTCAATCTGAAAAATTAAATTGGAAGTTGTATGTATGTGTACATGAATACATGTAAACATGTACTAGGAATCTATTTTTAAATAAAACTTACCAGGTTTGGTCACTCTAGGTGAAGGAATAAACAGGTATTCATTTTACTATTCATTTACCTTTTCTATAGGCTTGAAAATTCTCAAATTAAAAAGTTGGGAGGAAAAGTTAGGGAAAAAGAAGAACGAAGCAGATCTATAAATAATTAGATGGAACAGTCTCCAAAATCTACTTTAATAATACGCACCTCTTAGGGTTGCTGTGAAGATTAAACAAGTTAACACTTGTATTTTCAACATGGCCTGGCATCATAGCAAAACTCAACACATTAGATACTATAATTAATGTCATCTATACTCTTTATCATTAGGGAGGAAACATACATAGTGATGAGTGATGTTGCCACTTGCCAAAAAAAAAGGCAGGAGAGGAAAAATGGGAATGTGTATGAACTTAGCCATGCCAACAAACATTTTCAGAAGGATACACAGGAAAAGAGCATCAGTGGTTCCTTAGAAAAGGGGAGAAATGCTCAGAAGAAGATGACTTTTTTTTTTTTTTACTGTTTGAACTTTTATCATGCACATGTAATGACTATTTTGTTTTTAGTTTATTTATTTATTTATTTTTGGCAGCTGGCCAGGAGTGTTTTTTGTTTCGTGTTGTTTTGTTTTTTCTGTGGCTGGCTGGTACGGGAACTGTCAAACTCTGGACCTTGGTGTAATTTTAAATATATAATAAGCGTCAGAGAGTTGTTTTTTTTTTTATAAAAAAACTCACTAGATGATTCTAGTGTTTAAACTCTGTTTGGCTTCACTAAAACCAATGACTTCTTAAGGTCTTAGGTTCTATATTTCCCTTCAATTAGTACAAAAGATTTGAGAACTGACTGATTGAATTTTAAATATAACATTTCTAATGCAAAGAGTCAGCATGTTGTGAAGGATCACAGAAATAAAGATTGAGGATAATCTGTTTCCTGAAGTTCCAGAATTCCACCTATGGTAGCAGCTTCAGGGTAGAAAGGATGGGATTCATCTTACTGATTATGTAAGCAGCGAATTAACCTTTTCTGATTCAATTCACTGTGAGGAACACTGTTAGTCAGGCATTGTGGCAGGATTTGTGAATACAGAAATAAAGACTAGAAAGACCTCAACCTTAAGGAGTTTAGGCAAGTAATAATACAGAAGCACTGTTTAAAATGACCTCTTCTGAGATCATCTATACTAACTAAAAAAGATTCCCAAAGTAAATGAAGTAGGTAAAAAAAGCAGGTTACAAAAAAAGATATATGGTAAGATTCCAAACAAGCAGTAGGGAAAAGTTTATGAATATGTACACATAAGAATGTATGACTTGGACATGCATATGTGGTAAGACACATAAACAAAATACCAGTAACTATCTGTGGAATAAGGAATGGGGGGATGCAAAGGAATTGGAGGTATGGGAAAAAGTAGTACAGATAAAGAGAAACTTTCACTTTTTATTCCATATATTTAATTTATAAATTTTTTATAATTAGCATGTATTTATGTATTGCTGTAGCATTTTTTAAAAGGCTAATTTTTCTATAAGTAAAATTACCTATTCTTAATATACTACTGATGTCCAATATAGTCTAACAGGGTTAGTTTATTAAGAGTCACAGAAATATCAAGTTAATAATGATAATGACATGAAAAATACCTGTTCCATACGCTGGGCCATCTCTTTGTGTAACTGCTGAATTGCATTTTTAGCTGCAATGTCTTGAGCTACTAGTTTATCTTTGGAAGCTTTAACTTCTTTATTAAGTTCCTCTATTCTTGATTCTAACTGTAAAGAAAATCATTTCCAGATTATTTTTATAGCTATACCAAACAGACCAACAATACCCAAAATAAATATAAACAACGTAAATAAACATAAAGAATGCAATGAATATACTTCAACCATAGAAATCAAAACTGTTAGCAATATTCCCATATCTCACTGGAATTAAGTTAGTATAAATCTGAAAAGATTCTGTAAGGTGTATATGGTAAGCCCTTGAGCATCCACTAAGGAATAACTCAGAAAAACATGGTAAAAATATTGTTAAAAAAAAAATTCAATGTTACATTCGAAAATTTCTAATTAATACAAAAGAAAGCAGCGAAGAAGAAATAGGGGAACAAAATAGGCATGAGACATAAAACAAAAACTAAAATTGCAAACACAAACCCAACTGTCAATAATAACATTAAATGAAATTGAAATAAGATAACATTATCAAAAGGCAGAAATTGGCAGACTGAAATAAAAAAAAACAAGATCTAACCATAAACACCTTAGGTTTCAATAGATGCAAATAGATTAAAAGGCAGGAAAAACATATCATGCAAACAGTAATCATAAGAAAGTGGGAGTGGCTATACTAATATCAGACAAAACAGACTAAAATTTTAAAATGTTACTAAAGATAAAAGGACATTTCATAATGATAAAAGGATCAATCCATCAGAAAGATCTAACAGTTAATATATATACTTCTAATAACACATCACCAAAATACATGAAGCAAAAACTGATAAAAATGAAGTGGGAAATAGACAAGTCAACAATAGTCAGAGACCTCAATACCCTACTTTCAGTAATGGCTAGAACTAGACAGAAGATTAACAAGGAAATGTGAGACTTAAAACAACTGGATCTAATACATCTATATAACTCTCCACTCAGTGACAGCAGAATACACATTCTCATTAAGTGCACATGGAATATTCTCTAGGATAGAACATATGCTAGTTTATAAACAAACCTCAATATATTTAAAAAATTAAAATCATACAAAGTATGCTTTCCAACCATAATGGAATGACATTAGAACTCAATTAAACAGAAAGAAATTTGGAAAAGTAACAAATCTGTGAAAATTAAACACACTCCTAGATAATCAATGGAAGAAATCACAAGAGAAATTAGAGAGTACTGGGTGATAAATGAAAATGAAGACATAACATACTAAAACTTATGGGATGCATCTAAAGCAGTACTTAGAGGGAAATCTATAACTATAAACACCTGCATTAAAAAAAAGATATTAAATCAGTAATCCAAACTTCCATCTTAAGACATTAGAAAAAGAGCAAACCAAATCTAATAAACCTAAAGCCAACAGAAGGAAGAAAATAATAATTAGGGTGGAAATTACTGAAATACAGAATAGAAAAACAACCAAACACAAAACCAAAAATTGATGATTCTGATTCTTTGAAAAAAAAAAAAAAATCAACAAAACTGACAAACCTTTACCTAGACTGAGAAAAAAAGAGATGACTCAAATTACCAGAATAAGAGGGACATTATTACTGACTTTAGAGAAATAAAATGAATTATGAATGAATATTATGAACAATTTAACTTAGATAAAATGAACAATTCCTAGAAAGACACGAACTACCAAAATTGGCTCAAGAAGAATAGAAGATCTAAGATGTGACTAGACCTATAATGAGTAAAGAGACTGAATTAGTAATAAAAAAACCCCAAAAAACAAAAAACCCACAAAGAAAAATTCAGGTCCAGATGGCTACACAGGTAAATTTTACCAAACACTTAAAGAAAAATTAAGGACATTTCTTCACAAACTCTTGCCCCCACAAAAAGGAACATTTCCCAACTCATTCTATTCACTCCTAGATATATACCCAAAAGAAATGAAAGCATATATCCACACAAAAACCTGTAAATGAATGCTTACAGAGGCATTATTTAAAATAGTCAAATGGTAGAAAGCATCAACTCATGAAGGGATAAACAAAATAAATCTATCTCTGCAATGGAATATTATTTGATCACTAAAAAGAATGAAGTAGTGAAACATGCCACAACTTGAATGAAACCTTGAAAGCCTTACGCTAAGTAAAAGAAGCTAGACACAAAAGGCTATTTACTATATAATTCCATTAATATGATATGTCCAGAAAGGCAAATATATAGAGACAAAAAGTAGATTAGTCTTTCCCTAAAGCTGGGGGTAATGTTGGAGGGAAATGAGGAGTGACTCACAGGTCTCTAATGGTTGCGGGGTTTCTTTTTAAGATGATAAAATGTTTTAAAATTGTGGTGAATGTTGCACAACTAAAAACCATTGAATAGTACAATTGAAATGAGTGAACTGTATAGTATGTGATTTATATCTCAATAAGGCCGTTAAAAAAAGATCTAACATCAGGTTATAGTACATGAGTACTAATTTTCCTTATGACAAAATTATCTAGAGCAACACCGTCCAATAGAAACACAAACCACATGCATAATTAAAATTTTCCATTTTAAAAAGTAAAAAGAAACAGGTGAAAGTCTATTAAACCCAATATATCCAAATCATTTCAACACATAATCAACATGAAAAAATTAGCTGTTTTACTTTTTTTTTTGTACCAAGCCTTCTAAATTAGATGTGTATTTTATACTTACAGCCCCTCTTAACCTCAAACTAGCCATCTTTCAAATGCTCAATAGCTATATGTGGCTAGTGACTGGGGACAGTGCAGATCTAGAGATAAAATTAAGAAAGAAAATTCTACTACACTGGTTTTCTATTTAGAAGTACAGAGTTCTCTAAATGCTAGCAAAAGAAAGGCGAATTCAATTTTCCCTTTAAAAAAGGCACAACCACTAATAAGTTCACGAAAGGAAGAGCTCTAGTTCCATCCCAGCTGTTCAGTCTGACCTTTCTGGTCATCAGCAGTGACCTGACTACCAAAATATGGATTCAGCCTATTATTAAGGCTCCCTCGCACTTAAACATTCTAAGTTTGGTTTTCACGTAGTGGCCCTAGAGCACATAAAAAAATCAGGATTTAGCACAAAACATTTACAAATAGTCACCTTCCAATTGTGTAAAGGTTCATGAAATATATACTAAGGTATAAACAAGTGAAAACTCAGGTTAACTTTTTAATACATTATTAGCAATTATTTACTGTTATTTGCATTACATAGCTTTCTGTGAAAGATTAGACAAAAGGAGATTTTTTTAAGGCTAGAATGTTTCTAATCCTGTCCACAGAAGTAAAAGCAGCTCAGAAAGATAAGGAGCATTTCAGCTTTGCTCTCAGAATATTCATTTTGTTGATCCAGGCATCAGGGGAGTTCATTTTAAAAAAAGAAAAGGAAAAAAAAAAAAAAAAGGATGGGCTAGGATAGCCAGTTACCCAGATATAACCTAAGTAGGAGAGCCATTCTTCACAGTGTAGCTTACAAAAATACTGGGAATGGAATCATACTAAACTATAAGCTTAAAAATATTCTAATTCCAGTTATAAACTTTTAGGTATATATTGCTTATTCCCTTAATTGGCAAAAACAATCTGGTGGACTGTCAAATCATTTTTTTTATTATTTTGAACATTAACAGAATATAATACATTCTATTAAATATAACTCACATGTATCCCACAAAAATAAATTTACATAAAAGAAAATAAAGCATATAAATTCCACTTTGTAAAAGAGAATGCTTTAAATATCATACTAATTCTCCACATTTAAAATATGGCTTAACTTACAGAACTTCAATTTATACACAGTTTTTTAGGAATGTATTTATTTTATAAATTGAAATGTGATTTTTAAAGATTTTTGTCATTTTACCTGTGTAATTGTGCTCATATGCTGCTTCTCTGTTTCTGTTCTTTTTTTTAGTTCTTCTCTTAAATTGTCTTTTTCTGAACAAATGTCTAAGATGAGCTCCTGATGCTTCTTATTTTCTTTAATTAACCTAAATATAAAAAGTACAGTATATGTAATTAGAAATGAAGATAAAATGAGATGTGGAATATAATCTGTTTACAGATTAGGGTGTACATACCTATGATCTAATAAATTAATATTCCTACATAATCCTTTTATAATGAAACATGATACTTTGCAAAACATTCTCTGGCCAATCAGGCTATTAACTTTGTTCCTAGAAATTTGTACATTTCAAATCAAGTGAAATATAATCAGATAAGGAAAACAACACCCTGTTAAGTTAAAGCCTTGGGCATCTGAATTATGCATTAGAAGAACCCTTCAGATAAGTGGTTCTCAACCAAGGGCAATTTTGTCCCTCCAGGCATTTTTGTCTACAGATGTTTTTGGTTGTCAAGAGTGGTAAGGGTTGCTACTGGCATCTAGTGGGAGTCCAGGGATGCTACTAAACATCTTACAATGCACAAGATAACTCCAGCAACAAAGAATTATCTGGCCCAAAATGACAATAGTGCTGAGGTTGAGAAGTCTTGCTTTAGATTTTAGAAGTATTTTAATGATATTCTAATAGTTATAAAAGTGTAGTCAATGTACAATAAACGTTCAAGCAGAAATTTCATTTTGAGTCCCCCTAAAATACAGAAATAAAATCTTAAAAATTGCCTGCAAAGTACTCAGAACTATAAGATACCTAATTAAGTCAATCAGCTAACATTCTAGGATCATTAATAGCAATAGTTATTACCTAACATTTACTGTAGATTTACTATTTGCTAAGTTTGGCTTTTAAAAAAAAGAATATTATTTCATTTCATATTCAAAGTAACTCTATGAAATCATCCCTTCTGTTTTATGAATTTTAAGAAAGTAAAGCAAAACTCGATTCTAGAACTTGTTCCAGGTCACACAGCTGGTAAGTGGACTGAGTTTTGGATCCAGGTCTAGTTCCAATGCCCAGGCCTTTCCACCTTCTACTTTGAAGATCACTCATTCACCTAACTGATGCTTACTGGATACCTGCTATGTACCTTACTATTCTATATGTGAGGAATATGTCAGCAAACAGTCCCTGCCCTCATGGAGCTTACTTTCTAAGGGAGAAAATAAAAATAGACAATGTCAGTAACTAAGTCCTAATAAGAAAAATAATGGAGTATAGAGGACAGAGAGTGACTTGAGCTGTGATTTTAGATAAGATAATCAGGATAGGCCTCTCTAAGTAGGTGACAGTTAAACATATGAATGAAGTGAGGAAGAATCACACAAATGTTTGAGAAAGAGGCAAACGCAGTATGCAAGTTTATTGAAGCCTTTTATGGCAGCAGTTTAAAGTAGATTATATGATTAAGGTGTATACTCAACTTGTTACAGAAAACTACTTGAGACACAAGAATCCTGGCTATATATAGTTAATGAGTAAACACTTAAGGGAGGGGGAAGTGGAGAGCAGCAAGCACTCAAACTGTTACTCTTACATACCAAATGCATATCCTAGACACAGATAACTGTTCACAATGAAGAATTTTGGTTGAGACCTTAATATTGATGTGTTAGAAAATAGGGGAACAGAAACAGAGAGTAACTGAATGGTGGCTGCTAGGGGCTAGAGGGTGGGGGAAATGTTGGTCAAAGGGTACAAACTTTCATCATAAGACGAATAAGTTCTGGGGATCTAATGTACATCATGGTGACAATAGTTAATAATACCATATTGTATACTTGAAATTTGCTAAGAGTATATTTTAAATGTTCTCACCACATACACACAAAAAAGGGAAATGTGTGAGGTGATAAATGTGTTAACTAACTTGACTGTGATAATCATTTCACAATGTATATCAAATCATCATGCTGTACACCTTAAATACGTACAATTTGGTCAATTATACCTCAATAAAGCTGGGGAGAAAGAAAATAAGGAAATGGATATATAAACAAAGACATTTGAAAATAGATGCATTCATGAAAATTTCACTCAAAGGAACTGAAAGGTAGTTTTCTTCACAGAAATTTTTTTGCAGCTGGCCAGTATGGGAATTCAAACCCTTTACATCACAAAAGTTAAGGGAAAAATTTAATTACTTTAGAGCTGACCTGAATCACAGAGTATTTTGTTTAGAACTAAAAATATCATGTGTATAACAAAAGATTAACATGGATTTAAAATAATATCTGACATTTGCATAATGCCTTCATGTCCACAAAACAGTCCCATTCAAGTAAGCATCATCCCCTCAGATAGAAGAATCTTTGTCTCAAAAAGGTTGATTTGGCCAACATAACAGAGCTCGTGAATAGCAGTGGGAATCTTCCACCTCCAGGCTTCTGACCAAAATTGTGTTTACTCCATGCTCTGCCACACTGCCACCATTCTGACAGTTATGGAGCAAAAATAAGAAATCAACTGTATTCCTAATATTTTTAGATAAATTTAACAACTTGTATATAGTTCATTTCTAATAACCACATTTTAAAAACCTCTGAAGCCAAACTAACTAGGCTAAGATTTTAACTCTGTACTTATTTGCATATGACCTTAAACAAGTTGCTTAATCTCTGTGCTTACGGTTCCTCATCTGTAAAACAATAGTACATACCACACAGAGTTGTGAAGATTCCATGAGCTAATATATGTAATGTGCCAGGCACATAATTAACAGCATATATTTACTGCTATTTTTATTATTAAATGTCCAACATCTTATAATTTTCAAGAGAGGTATGAAAGTGGTAAAAGCTCAGATCTAAGGAAAGTGGCAAGAGGCATCAGAGATAATCCCCAGAGGAAGGTCTAATAGAATAGGTACAGGCAGCATAATAATGAGGAAGTTACCTTAAAAGTAAGAATAGCAGAAGCACCAAAGGTTCAAGTAAAAAAGCATATAGTGAATTCACATAATAACAGTATTCCAGTAAAGATATGAGTAGGAGTAGCAGGTATTAATTTGAGGGCAGTATTAAAAAGAGCCTTGGAGGGGCCGGCCCGGTGGCACACTCGGTAGAGTGCGGCACGTGGGAGTGCCACGGCACTCCCGCCGAGGGTTTGGATCCCATATAGAGACCGGTCCGCTCACTGGTTGGGCGTGGTGCGGGCGCGACACTGAGGGTTGCAATCCCATTACCGGTCACAAAAAAAGACAAAAAGGAAAAAAAATTAAAAAAAGAGCCTTGGAGTCTCAAAGAGATAATTGTACACTCATTTTCATAGCAGCATTATTCACAATAACCAAAAGGGAGAAGACACCTAAATGTCCATTTACAGATGAATGAATAAACAAAATATGGTATACTCATATACATACAATGGAATATTACTCAGACTTAAAAGGCAAGGAAATTCTAACACATGCTACAACATGGATAAACCTTGAAGTCATTATGCCAAGTGGAATAAGCCAGTCATAAAAAGACAAGTACTGTATGATTTCACTTACATGAAATATTAAGTGTAGTCAAACTCACAAAAACAGAAAGTAGAATGGTGGTTGCCAGGGGCTGGGGGCAGGTGGGAAAAGGGATTTGTTCAACAGGTACAGAGTTTCAGATCTGCAAGGTGAAAAAGTTCTCCAGATTGGGTGTACAACACTGTTAATATACTTGACACTAATGAGCTGAACACTTAAAAATGGTTAAGATGGTAAATTTTATGTTATATGTATTTTATCACAATTAAAAATAGACCAAAAAAAGGGCTCTAAACACTAGGAGATTAAAGTTCACTGGATAAACCAATGAAGGGTGAGCTGGTTTGGGGAAGACTGATACACTGTGTAGGATAATCTGGAAGAGTAAAGACTAGAAGCAAGAAGACCATTAAAAGCCAATTTCATATTCAGCAGTACTTGGATTATGGTATATTTCCTTCTGTCATTCTTCTCTGACATTAAACTTCCTCCCTCCCTACACACACACACACACACACACACACACACACACACACACACACACGCACCCCTAATTTAACAATATTTTTTAAGTATCGTTTTTTAAAAAGAGAATCAGTCTACATTTTAGTGAAGGCTAGTATGTTTTATTTTCCTTTCTTAAAGGTTACAAGAGAGTACCTAAACCAATGCATCACTTAGCTATATAAATCTAGAATAAAAATGCAGGATGATATAAAACTACTAGGAAAAATGTTGAATAAAATTACACTATCATTAAAACAGAATTAACTCCACAAATCCAGGAGAAATATAAAATATTATTTACTGCATTATTTACTGATTATCAACCAATTCTTCTTTCTTTAAATATGAATTTTTTAAACCAATAAATCTACAATGGGGATTTTAAGAAAAAATTCTTGAATTTTATGACTTCCCATTTCCTTTTGAATTTCCCTTACTTTTGACAATGTTATATGAGGAGTCTTCAAAAGTTCATGGAGAGATTTGTATTATCTTTTAATTTCATTTTTCCACGAATGTTTTGAAATAGCCTTGTACTTCTACATTCTTATAAAGTTGAAAAATTTGAGTTGTTTATAAAAATTTCTAGTTCTTTAATGAACTTACACTGTTTAATATAACTTACTCCCTTAGAATTAGGTATCAAGTAACTAAAAAAACTTGACATTTGCTCAGTTATTTAGTAAATACACATTTATTAGCATCTATACTGTGCATTTCTCTACTGTGGCATTAAAAGTGGACAAGATGATACTTTACTTCAAAGAATTCAATCTCTAATTCTTATGAAAAAAATAACCTCAAGGAATAAAAAACTTACTTTTTTATGGTATGTTCCTGCTGCAAATACTTATCTTGCACACACTTTTCAAACAGAACTAATGCATGTTCTCCCTTATTCATTCCATTTGATACTCGGTGTTCTGCAAACTCCGTAGATAAAAGCTCAGATTCTATTTCTTCCAACAAATCCTCTGATGCTGAAACATTTTTTATTTTTGAAATAAGTTTCTTGGTGCAGTCTGTATCATAGGGACTTTCTGAATAAATCTTTTGATTAGCTGCTTCTGTAAATGTAGACGACTTCAATTCCGCCAATATTTGTATTACTGTCTGTTCTGTTTCATTTGTTTTTGAAATGTGCTTTGCAAAATCTCCACTAGGAATATTAGCTATTTGTTCAGAATTTTCTGGGCATATGTCTGTGTTAGCACAAGAATCCTCACCTCCTCCAAGATCTGGAATATAATTTTCCTGTGTTTCAATCTGGTTATTGTGCTCATTAGGCTGACATAAAGTATTTTCAAAGTTTAATGACAATAATTTGGACTCATCTTCTAATCTGCTGCTTTCATCACCAGAAAATGAGTTGCATGAGTCTTCCTTTAATTCAGTTGCTTTCCCAATATTTTTATCAGAGGAAATGGAGGCTATGTGCTCTGTCTCGGACATGCTGAATGGCACCAACTCACTTTGCATTTCTTCAAATTTGCTCCCGATCTTCGTTTTACATCTAAGAAATCAAAACATCAAAATTAAAAAATTGTTTTAAATTAAGACCCCATACATATTTGTACACACTTCATGATGTGGAATGACTAAGATCACAAATTTTATCACCAATAATTCGGTTAAAAACCTTTCCTTAAGAAAAAAAGAGCACAATAGCCAACCCAAGTTGGCTATACCCAGTAGGGCCACTGCAAAGTCTCACTGTCTTTCCTCCTTCACTTCAGTCATACAACTTCACTAATTAATTTCACTTACACTTTGGCATTCCCCAATCATCCACATAAGATGTTAGGCAAGGAATAAACTATAACTGGAAGATTAGTACCAAGGAATGTCTAGAATTCCTTCAGCTCTATGAGGGGAAAAAGAATCAACAATCTACAAGAAAATATTGGAGAAATAAGACTTCACACAAGAAAAATCACAAACCAAGATAACAAAACGATGCACATTAATGATCATAAAAATTTACGAAGAAGTTAAACTAAACAATAACAAGACATCTATAGCCCAGAGACCTAGATTGGAATTAGAAAGATTCCTGATTGGAATTAGATCCCAGACGGGGATCCAGGAAGTGCCATGGTGATCTTCAAACATTCTCATCAGAAATAAGCAATGTTCAGTGCAAATCAAAGGTAGCCCATATGCACTCCCCAGTATAAAAAGCAACATTAAAAAACTAACTTGACAAGGTTAGAACACATTTTTATATTGTTTATAAAGGTTACTATTCTAGCAATGTTCAGTGCAAATCAAAGGTAGCCCATATGCACTCCCCAGTATAAAAAGCAACATTAAAAAAACTAACTTGACAAGGTTAGAACACATTTTTATATTGTTTATAAAGGTTACTATTCTAGTCATTTCATGCAAATTAGTCATCTTCAAAAATTGTCCTGAGACAGATAAATATAAAATATTTCATCAATCTTGATGAAAAAGAATTGTCAATTTCTTTTGTCAGGTATCAATAAAGCATATACAAGGTAGATGAGTTACTAAAGGTATATGAGGTTAGATTAAAAAGTGGGTAGATCGCAGTTTTGACAGAAACAAGAAATCAATCCAGATGAGAGGTATAATATTAGAAAACAAAGCATAAGACTAAATTTTTAATGAACAGAAAGATGCATGTTTACATCAGGCTGTGATGCAGGTGGTGGTCAGAGGTTGGTGAAAACAGGTAAGAGAAGACTGGTCAGACAGAATCCTCAGAATGCTAAGCAGGAGTGAATTTTGTTTAGAAGGATAAATCATAATAAATTTTAATAGACTTGTATACTTGATTATGCTGTGGAGTTTCTAGCACATAGTAGGTTCTCAAATATTCATTCAATTAAAGCCTGTAAACAGAAATGATATGATAAAACTAGTCTTTAAGGAACATTATTCTAGGAACACAGAAAATGGGGAAAAAAAATTATAAGAAAAAAAAAAAGACCAGTTTTTTTTGTTAAACACCCTGCCTGTTAGTTTAGACTGCCCTTTGGGGCATCAACTAATAGAACCATTGGCCTTAATACCCTAGACTACCTATCTGTATTACATATACCAAACAACCAAACAGAAACTATCATTATCTTGCTGTATATATTTTATAAGAAAGCCAATGTCCACACTAGTATTAAGAGCTCAATTTAAACAACACAAATAAATACAATAAGTAAATAAAAGGCCTCATTAAGTATGCTGTTTTCCAAAATCTAGCACAAAGTAAAAGAACTCTCAAACAGGGACACTGGCCACCTACATTACTACGTTACCCAAAGTAACTCACTTTAAGATATAACTTGTGAATGTGTTGCTGTTGAATTTAAAATCTTATCAATCTAGAAATAAATATAAAAAAAATGAAGAAAGTAGTTTCAAACATCATAACTAGTTAACGCTATACCAACAAAACTCAAACCTAGTGCTGACCAAAATGTAACGGGTAACAGATAAATAATCTATTTAAACAGTAAGGCTCTAAAGGCGTTGTGACTCCCCAGTATAGAGCAAATGAGAAGAAACTTTACTGAAAACTTTATGGCTCTTGTCCATGTGCCATGATCTGTCAACAGAAAAACACTAAGCAAATACTGGTTTATTGTCCTCTCATCCAACTTTCATATCCCCAGGGTTCAGTCAAGTCTTTTTCCCTCCTAGAATTCACCCACTTAGATAACTTGACGCAACCAACAACTCATACTTGATGCCTACATGTATCCTTGAGTTACAGATACCAAATTATCTCCTCTTTCTCATTCTGTGTCTATCATCTGTATATTAAAATCTCTACCTCAACATAGGCATTTCCACTGGAAATTGCACCATAAACTCAAACTCAAAATGACAAAATCTAAAATCATAATTATAGCTCCTATAATTGAGTACTCTCAGCTAATCTTTTTCTATTTTGTCAATGGTATCATCTTTCTTAGTCATCTGACTCCTTCCACTCCTTTTTCCTCATATTTCTTTAACTATTTCATGTCTCCTGTATTTTTATGGTCACTGTCTCCTAACCACAACCCAACCCAGGCTTCTGATCACTTCCCACCTGGAACATCTGAACTCTTGGTTTCTCAACCTCACACCATTCCTCCCTCCTGCTCTACTTTCTGCAACCAAGTGAAAAAACAAGGAGGTTAATGGAAGATCAGGTTACTTGGGACAGCCAGGGGTAGGACAGTACCAAGCAAGTGACAGGTCACCCAATCCAGAGAAAAGGTGAAGTAGGTACTACACTGGCTCTACCAAAGAGGAACAGGAGTTGCCTTATGAAGTGTATGAAGTGGGTCTTCGGTGGCAAAAGTGGCCATGGAGCTATAACACTGCCCCTACAACATTCACACACACACCACCTAAACAGAGACCACCACCAAATGCAGCCAGATGAACCAGAATGAGGCCAGGGCTACTTCTTACCTCTTTAGAGGTTCAGGTAATGAGCACTCTGCCTCCACTGGCTGAAAAGAAACATAAAGGAGAGGGAGCATGTCTTAGAGTCAGATTACATCTCTTCTTCAAGCCAAGCAACTGGGTGGGAACTCACAGCTTCAACTTTTCCTCAAGAAGAAGAATGAATTTGTGATTTCATTTTCTCTTTTCTTTCTTTTTTTTCCTTTTTGTCTGTTTTACTGACCAGTAACGGGATCGCAACCCTCGGGGTCGCGCCTGTACCGGGGACCGGCAACGGGATCACAAC